GGAAAGTCTGATGACCCTCCCACTGAATAGGATTACTAGATACTGCCCTGAAAAACACCAAACTTTGAAAAAGCCCATGTCCAGATGGCGTTATTCCAGAAGTCCTGGTTCATGGCGGACTGCAGCTTCTGAGAGCATTTCTTCTTACCCTGTTTCCAATGTTCTGGACTACTCCAGATATCATTCCTGCAGACCTGATATATTGCAACATCACTATCCTCTTCAAGAAGGGTGACCGCAGTCAATGTGGCAACGATAGAGGCATAGCACTACTTAGTGTAATTGGCAAGCTGATATTATTCTACAGGGACTGCAGCGCATAGCAGAGAATGTGTATCCCGAGTCTCAGTCAGGATATCCTGGTGGTAGATGCACCATCGGTGGCATTTTCACCCTAAGACAACTAATGGAGAAGAGCAGAGAGCATCGTACAAATCTCTATATTGCTTTTGTTGATTTTACAATAGCTTTTGATTCCGTCAACTGAGAACTTCTCTTCAAGATACTTGGCAAACTTGGCTGTCCTGCTAAGTTTGTACGGATCATTGGGAAGTTTTACGCTGATGTACACGCTTGTCTCATTGTTGATGGTGAGCTCACTCAAGCTTTTGAATATAACAGTGGCGTTAAACAAGGATGCAAGCTTGCACCAACCTTATTTGGCATTTATGCTACTGTTCTTCTTTATCTTGACTTTAAGAACATTAAGCACTCATGTTGCATCAAAGTGCGCTTTCGTTATGATGGCAACATCTTTGACTTAAAAAGACTAAAGGCCAAGTCCAAAGTTCTCAACAGCTACAAACGTGAGCACAGTATATGCTGACGACATCGCCATCTTAATTCAGTGATACCTCAGTTGGTTTGCAGCTTCTTCTAACTGCATAAAATTATGACACTGTAGCAAAGAAAATGGGTTGCAAAATTAACAGTGTTGTAGGTCTCGAGACCGGTCTCGGTCTCGAGACCGGTCTCGAGACCACTTTTTGCTGGTCTCGGTCTCGGTCTCGGAAGCTGTGGTCTCGGCCTTGGTCTCGGTCTCGGTCCCCTTCGGTCTCGATATTTTGGCTGGTCTCGGGTCGAGACCGGCAATATGTAGCTTTTACAGCTCGATCGATTACTTTGTGTTCACTTCGTTCAGTACCGTTGTTAGTTAAAACATTTGCTAGCCCGTAGATCAAGCTTGTTATATATCGTGGTCGGTTTGCCGGACTCGACTGCACGTTGGAAAGTCCCCAAAGTACATGTAAAGCTGCAGCAGTACCAGTCACTGAACGATTTGGAGCAAGTTCGGCATTTATCTGTTGAGTCAGGCACATAAAGCAAAGTATGAACTTGTAACAATTTATGCAATAAGGGTCAACCATTTTCGGGGATTGTGTAGTTTAGCCCACCCCTGTGGGCGTAACCACTTGCATTTTGTATTCTAATAATAAATGAGGTGCTTCAAATTAGTTTTATTTTCGACCCCACACAATGTTCTCTTTAATTTGGGACAGTATTTTGAAGAAAGAGTAAATTTTTCTACCTGATTTTCCAGCATTGAACTCACACACTCTTACCAGTTACCACTCACTGTTGCCATGAGAGTGTATGATGAGACCCCATTTTCTGGTTGCTCCTTTTGAAGTACCCCATTATTCCTCAAAAATTAAAATCCCGTTCAGAAAAAAAATTAAAAATCCATATCTGGCACATTCTGGCTACCACCTCGCAACTTGTGGGTCACATGTACAGGTCAACATTCTATGACAGAAATTTAAAAATTAATTCAACATTTTCTAGCTCCCATTTTTAAAATCAAGTACACAAGTCTTGTTAGAAGTTAAGTCCTATATTTATTTTAGGAAAAAAAGAAAAAGAAGAAAAGGCACAATGTAAAATTAAAATTGCATCTTTAAATATCCGTTAGAAGTCATTGCTGAAATCAAGGGGTGACTGTGGAGTTTAGGATCCGAGTTCCTATAACAGATGAAACATCTACCTTTAACTTTTTACTTTTGTCACGATTGGGTGCAGACAACATGTCAGAGCCCATATTTCTTAAGTGTAACTACTTTTTGCTTAAGTAAGGTGTCATGTATCAATTTGTCAACACTGCCACTGGTCAACATTTTGGTTTGTATTCTTTGTGAATAGAAGGGTTACATTTTTCAACTATAATAACGTGTCTTGTTTTTTTTATTTCGACTATTGTTATTTATTATCAGCGGTCTCGGTCTCGGTCTCGGTCTCGGACCATATTGGTCTCGGTCTCGGTCCGCCTTGAAGGGGCTGGTCTCGGTCTCGGTCTCGGTCTCGAATCTTCAGGTCTCGGTCTTGGTCTCGGTCTCGGACTATCCGGTCTCGACTACAACACTGAAAATTAACACAGCTAAAACTGAGTGTAACTATGTGTATTGGAAAACCCACCAGATGATTTTTTTGTTGATAAATGTCGATGACTTCAAGTACTTGGGCAGTCAGGTCAGCAAAGATTGCTCAATAAAAAGGAAATCAATGCTCGAATCCAAGCCACATCCTGTTCTTCTGACAGGCTCAGAAAGAGGGTGTTTGATTCTAGAGATCTAACAGTAGAAACCAAGATAATGGTCTACAACCAATATCTCATGTCCTTACTCTTATATGGAAGTGAGACTTGGACCCTTTACTACCATCAAGTTCGTCAACTACGTAGTACACAGCAGAGACATCTGAGACTATCTTAACGACTTTATTACTAATGATGAAGTCCTAGAGTTAGCTGGTGTCGAGGACATTGAGTTAAAACTGGTTAGAAACAGGTTGCGCTAGTTTGACCATGCTGCAAGAATGGACGACGAAAGACCAGTAAGGAGCATAAAGTACTGTGAACTTGCCAATGGCTCAGGATCAGTTGGACGTCCCAAACTCAGGTTTAAAGACACTTGCAAAAGTGCACTCAAATGTGGGAGGGTACTTGACGAATGGAGTACTACTGTAGGTAATCGTCCAAAATGGAGAAAAGTTGTAAATATGTCAACGTATAAACGACAAAACACTTCAGCAAAACAAGAAGAAAAGAGCCAGAAGGCACATGAAGAAAAAATCCAATAAGTTGACACCCGTTTCGGGCAGATAACTTTCAGGATTTATTTCCCTTATAATGATCCAAGTATGTGGTAAAAATCGTTGTGATATGTTCATTACTTTTCCGTTGAAACTGGAAAAATAGGCCTGGCTATAAACGTGCATAAACTGGCGTTTGCAATATCTGTCAATCTTTTCAAGCCTCATGAATATTTTATAAGGTTCCTATCCATTATGGTATGCAGTAAAAAGTTGGAGAAAAGGCTCCTTCACGAGTTATTAATTGATAACCCGTTGCCGTATTATAAAAACATGGTATTGACCAGCCTAGTCTACAAAATGACGTCACAATTGTAAACTTAACTATGATTGGCTGGCGCGCGGATCACATAAAACTGACATGCTATGATATATCAGACGACTGTTCGTCATGTGGCTCTGCTGATACTCAGACCCCCCCCCCCCTCCCCGCGGCATTTTGCCCTTTTTTATAGAATTTGGAAGAGCCATCACCTCATAACCGCTACTTTATATAGTAGTAATAACGTCCGCTACGGGCGACGCTCGATATTGTGCGATAGCGTCCAAAACTCATTTGAACATCGCCCGAAATAGTCAAATGGTTTTCAGCCCCCTTCCCCACGTGACCTGAAAAAAAACGTCCTTCGGGACAATTGGCCATGATGCCCTCTGGACCAAAAACCTGTGTATACGCTACATAGAAAATATTAAGTCCATTGACCAACGAAAGTTAGTCAGGCACACTGCATGTCTGATTTGTCTAATTAACAATTTTTCATACATGTAATATTTACGAATTGAAATTAGTCATGAAAAAGTGTCTTCATTTGCCTAACTTCTCAAGTAATTGGTATTACAAGATAATTAATTAGTAATGCAAAAAATATATGCAAGAATATTACTAGTAATGCACACACACAAAAGTAGTCATCCTAACCCTTTTAATTTGTCATGTGACAATGTTGATGTGTCACGCTATCAGATAATGTTTTCCCACTTGAAACAACTTAGTCTGAAAACAAGTTTTTAATTGACATGTTCACTATTTTCCGTGAGTCAGGTTGAACAAAATAATGTTACAACGCTTGAGACCTTTTCGAGACCTTATAGAGACCCATTGACAAAATGAAATTATTAACTCAACAAACGTCCAAAATAAGGAAAAAAACGTTACGTCAAAAGTGAAAAGTTCAGCGAAGTTGTAACTTGTATAGCTTGTTATTACATATACATTAAAAGGCCACTGAAACGAAATATACCATTATCATGTTGCAGCCATCATGTCTGGTTCCTTTTTGCACAAAAAGCATTATCATTGAGTACTGTTATTGGATACAGGGACCATAACTAAAGTGGTGGCAGCATGATAAAGGTCTTTATTGGTAGTTCGTGATCATTATAATAACATTTACTTCGGGAGCCAAAGGCGATGTTCGTTACGGCCAAACATTTAATGTTCGTAATCGCGGTGTTTCACTGTATATAGGCCTAATAACAAACCACACGACTAAATTCGTTCGAATTAGGGTTTTGTAGTTCTTCGTTATGGCCAAACAGCTCCAGCGAATTTAAAGAAAACCCGGTTTTTTTTACACCAGAGGGGCGCATAGCATGCCCCCGATGCTAAACAGAGGGGGCGCATAGTTCGTCCAGCAATTAAATTCATTGGTAATTCATTCGTAATGCATTCATTCGTAATGCATATGGACCGTAATTGGTCATGTAAAGTTACTTGCATAGCTAATTATTTTCCTACTGATTGACGACCTTCCCGAAGTTTGACTAAATACCATTTTTAGTGTAGTGATCTCGCGTTGGCGATCCAACCTCACCTTCCCCATAGTCTCCATAATTATAATGTCTCCATAATTATAACTTTTCCATATTCATACACGCCACATTCACAAAAGAATACACACAAGATTACTCTATATCTTAACTCGTATAGCATGCTGATAAATGGTATTCACTAAGCACTAAAATTCACTAAAATTAACTTCTCTGGTAGCTTTCTAAGTTGTCAAGGCCTACACTGAAAGTTTAGCAATCCAATATTCATTTTGATAACATTTTGTAACCAAGAATTAAAGGAAACTATTGTCGTATCCGAATTGGAGCATTTTCCAGTTTCTCAACAGCTAAACCCAGTCACAGCAAGATTTCCTCGACAAAAATCTACGACCATTAGTTCACCTCCGCACTGGTATTGCCCCTACAATTCATGGACTCTAAACAGTACGAAGGGTCAGGTATCTCCGAGTAGCGGCATCGGACTATCTTGGAAAGAACCATCTTGAAATGAGGATGACCTACTGCGTAGATGATGGGATTCACGCAGCTGTTTAGAATGACGATGGTTAAACCATAGACGGCGAAAAGGTGGGTGGTCGACATGAACAGCGAGATGAAAAAGGGAGACACCAGCAACGTAAAGGTACAAAAGACAATAAACAAGTTCTTGGTGATGGCCTGCTCCTGGTCTGGTGGACTTCTCATCTCAGATACGTCACGGATGGTAATCTCTAAGGAGGAGATCTCTCTTGTGGTCATTTCCATTGCGTCCGAAGGTTGGTCATCGACCGTTGCCAGACGTCTCTTCTGTAGGATGTAGAGAGCCATATATGATATTACGACTATAGTCAATGGCACAATGAACGAGCAAACGAACTGGATGATGCTATACTCAGTACCATTGGTGTGATCGTCCTTATCTGTGCAGGATTTGTGAAGGTCATCATAGCCAAGTTCGCCAACTCCAAAAATCAAGGGCAGGAAGGTGACGGTGCACGGCACTGCCCAAGTTGCAGCCACCATGGCGATGACTCTGCCCGGGGAATATAACCTTTTATATGTTTCATCAGTCACGGTGATTGCAAAGCGATTGAACGCTATAGCGGCCAGTGAGTACAGGCGAGTACCAAGACCAGTATGGAACTGCACGGCGGCGATAATGCAAGGGGTTTCGGAAATGGGCCAGCCATCCTGACTGACCGTAGCCACAACCATCCATGGGTATGACAGACACGTCCATAGGTCGGCCACACAAAGGTTGACCACGAAGACATTGGTCACTGTGCGAAGCTTCCGAGAGAGAATGACAGACCAGATAACGAGCAGGTTGTCAACGAAACCCAAAATAGTCAAGAAGACCCAGACACAAGCTGAACCAACGCCAGCCTGGTAGGTGTAAACCCCATCCATGGTTTCTTGTTCCTCGGTCATGGTTTAAGCTGACACGATGTTGGTTTACTTTATGCTTTACAAAGTTATAGTTGGTTTATATGGCGTGCATCTAGCGACAATCAATTCAGAGACTAAAAATGACAATCTACATAGAGATGCAGTGCCTCATCACACCTCTTTTTTTCCCCTTTCACCTATAGTGATACATAATTTGTTTGGTTGCTGCATCTGATGTCACGACGCTTCCGTTGCCTGTGTTAATTTCCTGGAGAGCGGATCATGTAATATATTAATTGTACCAAGCGGAAACCTAAATTTAGAGTGTATTGCAGTTCCTCGTTTGGACACTTTTGATACGCATTACTTACAACATGTTCGTGTTCTTTTACAAAACAACCTGTTCTCCAACTTCTGTGGCTTAATTTTCCCCAGTAAAATTGGCGCAAATAACTTTGAACTTTTCGCAAAATCAACAAAATGTAGAACAAAGCATGCATAATTAATAGGTCGTGTCGTCAATTTGTGTGCTAAGATCACTGGGCCCATTATATTCAGACACATTTTCTAAATGTGCCCGATTAAAATAACCACACAAAATAATCTGTCATTCGTCAATATTCATTCAAGATGCACGTATGTTTGAAACTGTGACATATTTTAATATTCATTTTTACAATTAATTTAAATTCAATGATTCCAGATGTATGAAAATGAAGAAAGTAGAAAAAGCTGACAAAATATTTACCTTCAATTTACAGGGTGCATAAAAAAAAAATCCAAAAACCGTATGGGCTAATATGTAAAAGTTATGAACTTGAAAAATGTCAAAGTGGCTCCATCTTAAAGGGCAGTTCCTTAGCCTTCAGTTGATATCTTATTTGCATCTCTTCGGTCACGGATGACCGAGCACCATTGATTTCAAAACAGAGGACCACACCCCTCTTTGCCAAATTTGCTGAACAAGTTGGGAGTTATAAGCTGTCCGAAGAATGCGCTGTCGCTGTAAAAATGCGTTAAAATGGGTATGTTGGAGATGTTGTTGCTTAACATGGTACATCATGTTGTCCATAAATAATTCATCATTCCAAAGATTTTGTTTTTCATCACAAACTTGCAATCCAATTTCAAAAATCAATGCCAAGTAAGGCAGACGCCCAAGATGTGTTTTGAGTACCATTTTACATTAGGACAACTTAATTCAGCACTGAATCGGGCAAACTGGGGAAAAAAAGTAGGTGTTTGGCATGTGATGATAAACCAAATCTATGGAATGATCAATCCTTCATGGACACCATTATTATGTACCAACATCAACATCACTATAACATAACACCCCCTTTTCTGCGCACTTTGAAACGGGTTTCTTGGTCTTTTTTTTAAATCAATAGTGCTCAGCCATCCATGACTGAAGAGATGCAAATAAGATACCAATGACAAGTTAACAACCTACCTTTTAGATGGAGCCACGTTCATAACTTTTTTTACATACACCCTGTATGAACAAAAGGCACTGCAACCAAGATATATTGAAAAAAAAAATATCAGTGCAAACAAACTATTTTTTTTACAGATTTGAACATTTTCCCCAAGGTACTGTACTGCATTCAACAAATATTTTTTTCTATTTTTCTTACAGGAAACAGAGTACATACATTTCCCATTATTGTTGGTTTTCATCGAAAATACACAAAAAGTAATTGGAAAAATTGAATGGTAATGCAAATATGAAGTATATATGGACTGACTTGAATTACAAATGTAATGCTCTTTCGCTGAAAGATTTTTTTTCTAGAAACTTTGGTAGTACTGTGTTATTTGATACACATACGCAGAACAATTCCAATGTAAACAGGAAACCTAACAACCAGTTATTTTGAAATGAGGAACCTGTACAAGAAAATAATGTCAAAGGCTAATAAACCTAATCATCTGCTCACCAAACATGAATCAGTGCAACACAATGCATGGAATTTGTCACATTTCACAATAATGTGAGAGATAGTGCTGTTGAGGTCATGTCTTTTATACGTGACCTATAACCAACAATGCCGAGCTGGCTCACATGTTCGCAAAACATTTTTTGATTTTGTAATTTATGTTCGCATTTTTGTGATTTGGTCACAATACCAATCATCAAACCCAGGTATTACTTCTAAGAAACAAATGTAAAATATTAAGAATGGAATGTACTTAATTACAGAAAATGTGTGGTTTCAATCAACAGGTTTTACAATGCAGGTCATCCGTTCAATTGCTTCCTGGAAACTCACAGAATCCCGGCCCAGTCACTGGCTCAGCTTTCAAACCACGCCTGAAATTGACACATAGGTGTAATTAACATACATATATACATTGTTTTCTTGGATGTTCTCCAAAAAGTTTTACCTACATTGTTTGCACATTATTCTTTTGTTTTTGTTTTACATATTTTAAGTGTTTTTTAGTGACATTTTAGTGTTTGTAAATGGACGCTATGCATTAAACATTGTGCCATTTGCATTGCATTCTGGGCATGGATCTAACCATCCAAATATATGCAAGTACCTATGGGGCAAAGAACCAGGTCATTTTTTCCCGGTATTTTTTCCCTCAATAAATTTTTTAAACTCAAGCGATGCACAGCGACAGTAAATATATTTTGAAAATAAATTAACACTTATAAATTTATCTGAAAACTACTGTGTATCAGATAAAGATGGAGTGTTGGTGATGAGTAACAACGTTAGATGAGTACAGTGGTGAGAACAGTACAAGCCAGGAGTGTATCAACAGAAAGAGTACAGATTGCATCAATTGTAGACATCTATGAGGTATTACATGGTTTTGTTCCACACTGATGCACGAGTAGAGCTCTGAAATAATGGCTGCTAAATGACATGGTCTATGCAGGGTCATAACTAAGGATTTAAAATAACATCAATTCTAATGAGTGCCATGGCCTCGTGATCTGGGGCATTGAAATCATGGTCTGTGGGTAATTCTGCAGGTTGTGGGTTCGATTCCTGCCAGGAGTTGTGGTATGTGTGTCGTTGGGCACTTTGTCACTCACATTGCTTCTCCCAACCCAGGGGTAAATGGTACCTGTGAGGGCCATTGAGCTGTATACTCCCCAGGGAGCTGAGATCAGGGGTAGTGATAATGTAACGTGCTTTGATCTTAGTTAAAAGCGCTATCTAAGAACCCGTTATTGTTATTATTATATAGACTCTCAACCTTCACTCGTTTTTTTTTTTAATGTAATATGACCATGTAACTCTGTTCAAACCCTTCCTATGCATATTGGTACTCTGAAACTGGTATTTTAATCAAACTAACGAAAATTGTGATCTTTTGGAGGTCTCAACTGGATTCAAAACTGTGGTAAACAAATGGGTGAATATATCACATTCATGGTTTGTTTATTTATTAAATATCTATATATATAAGAGAGAGTTTAACTCGGCCTCCCAGACGATGTTTGCACCATTTTATTTATTTTACTTCTTGTTACATTTTTTTTTTTTATGTTTATTTTTTCTCTGGACCTCACATCACTTTCCACAGGCCGTCGACACCCCAAGGTCTACCTTGTGTCATGCACTGTGTTCACCAGTACCATCATTTAAGTTAGTTGAGTACCTTAATATAGTAATAAATTTCACCAAAATGTTTTATTTAGTATAAATGTGATTTGTTTTTATAAATTTAGATTTACCGGATTTAACTAAATATCTTGCTTATTTTCTATTTTTTCCAATTTTCACTTTCAGTTGTGTGCTACGATTTATTTTTGGTTGAGGTTCAGTTCATTCCCTATACTTTCTTGTAACTGTATCTCTTTCACATGGTCCTGATAGTGGTGTACCCTCTGACACTGTGGATATTATAATGTACTTCACCTGACCATACGGCACCTCTGCTCAGCTAGTCTTGATGCTGCCTCATTTACATCACGTACATTCTCTGCACTCCATAATCTCTCAGCAACTGCACAGCCTCGTGGCCTAAGGAACAAATTATAACATAAACTGAAATTTAGTCAAAATACATAACAAAAATAAAGTAAATTTCAGTACAATAAAGTTTCTTTGTGTAAAGGAGAGACGCCATTTTTAGTACAACTTCGATTTGGTGGGGTTTGTTTCCTGATGAGGGATAGTTTCTCCCAAAATATCGGCAACTTATTCCCAGGAAAAGAATATTTGTTGCACACAGGTTTTTTTTTTAAATGGCCAAATATGCCCAGTGTAGAGTTTGTAGAGGACTATAGTCTATGGCAGTCTGTAAATAGAACGTACCTAGCCTGGGAATATGAGGATTAATTGTGGCAACATACCTGTATTTTGCTAAAGTGCCTTCCTTACAGACCTACATGTAAGTCAGGATTATTGGAGTAACTTCAACACGGTCAATTACAATCCACAAGCTGACGGGGCCAAGGTTTCATGTTTGATGATTGAATTCTTAACCACAATGGGTATAAATCATGGCAAAATAGTGTTTTCCTCTCTTCAGTGAAGACGCACCACCATACATGGTAGTATTATCAGTATTATTACCAACTCCTCTGGATCACATTGGTGGCATCCACATATTCCCCCCACATGCAGGCTTCTCCTCCAAACACCAATGCCTTCTGGGCAGCAGTTCCTATCATCATTAAGAAAAATACAAATCTTGATGTATATATGAAGTATGAATTTGTACAACATACACATTGATAACGAGGATATGTGACGTGTCCTGTTCAGGCAGCTGGTAGAAAATTGTTTTAAGTATAGATCTTTCCTTTTCATTTGAATTTTGAGATGTCACATTCGTTAAAAAAGAAAACAAATTACGTAACTGATAAACCTATCTAGCATGACAAATTTACAAAGTTCTGCCCAGAAGTGTCTGCTTTTCAAAGAACACGTCAGATATAGATTGTACAAGACAACAACAAAAACAAGATGAAATTTTCATAAATGTGTACACAGCAAAACACAATCATGATCCGGTGGATTGTCAAGCAAGCATGATAGCATCCCAAACCATGTTAGCAGGATATTAAGTTGAAGAGGCAAAAACACTTTTTTTTTCACACAGAGCAACATGGTAAGAAAAGTAGCCCTCAAATCATTTGAAATCAAATGAAGAGTGTTTTTCTCTCTGCTCTTGAAAGAATTTCAATCCCTTTTGGCAAAAGGTGAATGGTTTGGCTGGAATGACGATTAATCATGAGTTGTGCTGAGGTTATATAGGCTGTTAGATCCACTACCACAATCTGTGATAGTGACACTCATGCTGAGCAATTCATTTTAGACTCGCAACGTAAAGTGGGACATATAAGAAATCTGATGTGTGTGGAAGTAGTTTCAAATTACAGCCCTGTGTAATCTTTTTATTTAGTAAATTTTTGCTATAGTTTTTATATTGGAATTGGTTGACAACAAAAACTGTCTGAGTAAACTACTAAGGCTTTCATGAGCTCTGTGTGGCGGGATAAAAGGAAATGCGTCGTGAAATGCGTTGTTCATGGGTTTGATCATGAAATACAACCAGCAGCCACATGAAGAAATATGTGAGAGTGAAATCTGGCACTCATAGTTTAATCTGATGAGCTCTATGTCTGTGTTCAAATGGTAAAGTTGATCTGAGATGTTTCCGATATAAAAACATGCATCTAACAGGGTAATTGATAAGGTTTACTAATTTTTTAAAGAGATAAAATGTATTAAGAAGGATACGGTTCAATCCTTTCTTGAATTAGGACCCTGCTGAAATTGAAATTGAAACTGAAAAAGCCAAAATAAATAAATGAAATATTTCTTTCTTTGTAGATTTATGAAGGTGGTCTTATGCAGGAATAGTGCTGTGTGGCTTACTCATGAAAACAAAGAAGAAATGTTGCATACATGCATACTCATTCTAACTCGCATGTGGCAGGATCTTTAACCAACTTTTAACTAAAGCAAGCAATGTCGTGTATTACCGGTAAGACATGTGCACCTCAGGGAAATGATGGTAATTAATGGTGCACACTTGCGTGTCAAGAATAATGTTTGAATTGTTACTACAATAATGGTTATGAATGTACTAGCATGATAATTATCAGAAACCATAATTATATTGCTACAGCTGGATGGGATAATTCTAACGAAGACTGTTTTGCAAATGACTATGTGACGTTGGCACATGAGATCAACGTGATGGACCAATATGCTGCCTTTGCAGTTGAGTGATCTTGTGGGTTTGCAATTGTGTGATTACCATTAAACAGTAAGGGTTGGACAGAGTACAGAGTCTTCCAGTCCTGCCCATAGGGACTACCAGCATAGTTCAGATACCAGGGGGTTGACAACAGTGTTCGATACCCAAGTTGAGTGACTTTAGCTAGCTCTTGTTGCCATGAGCCTTTCCACACATGAACTACTGCATCAGAGACAACCTTGGGAATAAAGACATGAAGTGGTCTAGTGGACTAAGTTCTGACAATGTAGTCCACTCAATAATTACAAAACTAATTGGTAGTCATTGCTACAAACTGACTGTTACATTTGGTTAATGTGAAAGTAAGCAAGCAATTCTTCACAACACTTAACAATGAAATTTAGCTTCACTTTAAATTTGTAACAAAATCATCGTACGTTAACAAGTTAATTGCAGAATTGACAAGGGAAGTTGGAAAGGAGGGAGGCTACAAAATATTGCTAATTCCAATTCATTTTCATGTCATACTTTCCTGTGTTGCATATCCCCAAAGTAAAACATACTTTGTTATTTTCTGGTTTAGTGTAGTTTGTGGAACTTTGTGCCAGTGCACGCATGGTACAAGCAATTTATGTTTGGACAACACATCAGCATTAATTCACTGAAACAGGAAAAGGCAATTCCATTTTCTTGGTAAAAACAAACGGCATCCAGTCAAATTTAATAAAAGACATGCAAAGAGAATCACAGATGGTGGGATACCGGAGTACATTTACAGAACAAACAATGAAAAAGGGAATGAAAAATATAAAAAAAACATGCATTGGGAATGGCTGTAAATGCATTTACTTCATGCACACATGTATACACTGCAAGCACTGAAATGAGGGATTCTACAGTCATCCGTGCAGAATTTTGTAAACACATCAAACATTTAATTTAAACTGCAAGCATGTAAACAACAGCATTTTTGCCAAGTAAATACCCAGAACTTTACAAAGACACTTAAGTTTTGGCAAATATCAAGTCATTGCAACGTAAACTTTAAACAAAATGTTGTAAAGGACCCCTTCATAAGTTTTGAAGTATTCACTTGTATTTCCTAAACACAACCTGTCTCTGTGAGGATTTTTAGTGGAGGGTAGGGGTGTTTTGTGAAACAACTTGAAAACACAGCATTGGAAAACATAGCAATCACAATTGAATTTATATTATTTTGTGTAGTGATGTGAAAAGTGATGTGAAAAGTAATTATAAATAGATATATGCAAGGCAAGTGAACAGTGCGCACAAGAACAGATATGCACGTGAACAGCTACGTTACATAGGTGCATGTGCGTGCACGCGTGAGTACACTAAAATACTTAGATAATAATGTTTTGGAAAAGAAATTTGTTTTTGCGTGATTAAAAAGAATTTTGGAAGGAGCTGGTTTTTGGCGATGGAAGAGAGAAGATGTACATTGTAATTGTGGCACAGTTGTAATAAAGTCGGAAGACATTTTGTAACATTACACAACAGAAGTATCCTAACTGTTTTTGGTACAAGACTGAAATCCCCTCCTACACTTCACGCGAGGTTTTCCCGGGATCCGTTCCTGAAGCTGACAGCTTTACATTTGTTTCTTAACTTCAGTTAAATTTTTATCCTGAAGCTATTTTTCATTTTATTAAAAAGAGACACATTTCTAAAAATGTAGTGCTCATGATCTTCAAGTTTTATTGTTTCCTCAGAAATTAATGAAATGAGAGGCAGCAAATGAACAGGTTAAGATTAACATACATGTAACAACAAAATTATTTGACTTGCACATACATGTATTTTTTGCGATTGTCAACCTGAAACTTGTAGTTTAATCAGACAGAATGGCATACATTACCAGAACTGATTCAAGCTTTTGTACCTTGTAGCTTCGGCTTTGTACCCAGCTAAATCTTGGGTCTGTGCACTCTGTGGTGCCAGTGGTAAAATGTATTTTGATCACTCAGTAGCAAAGATCCTATAGCGCCGATCCTATAGCGCCGCAAGAGGCGCTATAGATCTTAGGGAGTGTGTCCCATGTGGGAATTGATGTGACCGGTTTGCAAAATCATCGGTAGCCGGCACAGTTATGAATAAGGAATACAATGCATAATTGGAATTAAAAGCTTCACGTGACTGTGGCATAAATTCAAACCTGTGAGTAAATCCCTGTGTTTTTGTTATTTGAGTCTGAGTATAAGATATGGTATGGACCACATATGCAAGAAAGGGAATTGTAAAAGGCCAGATGTATGGCCATCACTCTCTCCTATGAAACCCCATATTTCATGTAATTTCACTGCTTTGGCAGGGTTAACAACATTACTTGTTGATCTTTAAGCAATTTGTTTCTAGCAATTGAGAGTTTCAGAGGCACTATAGACACAGGGAAATAAAAGAACAATGTACATAAATAGGGTTAGTCCTGTTAGTCAGCATCCACAGAACACATGCAACAGTCAATTACTGTGAATTACCATTAAATTTCAAGGGTTCAATGTCATAAGTCTGCCTCCATGGTTGGCCATATGGATTGCCTCCTTGGTTCAGGTACCAGGGGGTGGACAACAATGCCTTGTAGCCCTTCTTGGTCACATTGTTCAGTTCTGATTGCCAAGGTTGTTTCCAGACATGCACCACTGTGTCAAGATTTACCTTGTTTGTGGGGAAAAAAACATCCGCTTGTTTAAGATAAGGCTAAATAATGAACTCTGCTGTATGTAGGTTCCGCTCCCCCGTTAATGTTGTTGGGAGGTGCCTGTGAAATGTCAATCCGTAGTGGAATGATAATGTCATCCATGCATTTTGGAAAACAAGCAAACAACTTGAAAGGATCATTATTGTAACGTCATAATTGGGCGCCAGCACGGACTTAGGATGCAACCATAGCGTTGGGACCCCTGCTGCTTGGCCAGGGGGACCCGTTGCTAGACTGCACCGACTCAGTAGTGTGACATTTTGTATAACGTGCTTTGTTGTGAGTTGTTTAAAAAAAGCCTCGTGTAAGAAAGTGGCAAGAATAATGGCCTAGAGCCCTGAAACCCTGAAGAATAATGTCTGGGGTTTCATTCATTTCCTTCATTTCGTTTTCTTTCCTTCGCCTGTCAATGCAGCAGGGTTGGAGCTTCGTCCGGAGACATCCCACATATTCTACACCAACACAAGTATCAAAACCCACGATCAGAACAGCCCCAAAACACACACATTCATATGACAGACACACGTTCCCACCGGAACAGCCCCGTTACACACAAATTCATATGATGGACGCACGTTTCCTTTTTGGAACAGCTCTGTTCCGCACAGATCCATACACCGGATGCATGTTTCCCAACGGAACAGCCTCGTAGCACACACATTTATACAACGGACGCACGTTTCCCCTAGAACAGCACCGTTCTGCACACATCTATGGGGTGGAGCCGGTGCAGCTGCTGCACACGGGAGATTGTGGAGCAGAACCGGTGGAGCCGATGGAGTTGCTCCGCAAGGGAGTCTTTAGGGCAGAGCTGGTGGAGCCAATGGACTTGCTCCGCACGGGAATCTGTGGAGTGGAGCCAGTGGAGCCAATGGAGTTGCTCCGCATGGGAGTCTGTGGAGCGGAGCCGAGGGAGCCAATGGAGTTGCTCCACACGGGAGTCTGTGGAGCGAAGCCGGTGGAGCCAATGGAGTTGCTCCGCATGGGAGTCTATGGGGTGGAGCCGGTGCAGCTGCTCCACACAGGAGTTTGTGGAGCAGAGTTGGTGGAGCCAATTGAGTTGCTCCACACAGGAGTCAGTGAAGCTGAGCCTGTGGTGCCTAGCCTGTGGAGCCTATGGAGTTTCTCCAAACGGGAGTCTGTGGAGCTGAGCCGGTGGAGCCGATGAAGTTGCTCCACACAGCAGTCTATGGAGTGGAGACGATGGAGTCAATGGAGATGCTACACACAGGAGTCAATGGGGCGGAGCCGGTGGAGGTGGAGGGGTGCATACTTATGTTCCCCAATTCCCTGAAATCCTTACCCTATAAACCCTAACCCTAACCCTAATCCTAAGTATTTCGGGGAACATCGGTATTGGGAAACATAGGTATTGGGGAACATCAGGTAGACCCGGGCTGGAGCCAGTGCAGCTGCTCCACATGGGAGTTTGTGGAGCAGAGCCGGTGGAGCCAATGGAGTTGCTCTGCATGGGAGTCTGTGGAGCTGAGACGGTGGAGCCGATGGAGTTGCTCCTCACGGCAGTCTGTAGAGTACAGCCAGTGGAGCCAATGGAGTTGTTCCAAATGAGAGTCTGTGGAGTGGAGCCCGTGTTGCTCTGCATGGGAGTTTGTGGAGCAGAGCTGGTGGAGCCGATGGTGTTGCTCCACACGGAAGTCTGTGGAGTGGAGCCGGTGGAGCCGGGGTTGCTTCGCATGGGAGTTTGTGGAGCAGAGCTGGTGGAGCCGATGGTGTTGCTCCACATGGGAGTCTGTGGTGCTGATCAGCCGGTGGAGCCGATGGAGTTGCTCCGCACGGCAGTCTGTGGAGTGGAGCCGGTGGAGCCAATGGAGTTGCTCCAAACGAGAGTCTGTGGGGTGGAGCCGGTGGAGCCAAAGGAGTTGCTCATCACAGCAGTCTGTGGAGCGGAGCTGGTGGAGCCAGAGTTGCTCCGCATGGGAGTTTGTGGAGCAGAGCTGGTGGAGCCGATGGAGTTGCTCCACATGGGAGTCTGTGGTGCTGAGCTGGTGGAGCCAATGGAGTTGCTCCACATGGGAGTCTGTGGAGCTGAGCCGGTGGGGCCGACGCCTCATAGGTCCGACGCCTCATAAGTCCGAAATTTCGGACTTATGAGGCGTCGGACTTATGAGGCATAAAATTAATTTATTCCGCTTCATAGGTCCGACGCCTCATAAGTCCGACGCCTCATAGGTCCGACAAATTAAACGCCTCGTTTTTCCGTTGTCAGACTAATGAGACGTCGGACTTATGAGGCGTCGGACCTATGAGGCGTCGGACTTATGAGACGTCGGACTTATGAGGCGTCGGACCTTTGAGGCGTCGAACTTATGGGCCTTTATTTGGTTAGGGGATGCGATTTTGTCGGACTTATGAGGCGTCGGACCTATGAGGCGTCGGACTTATGAGCGGACCCCGAGCCGGTAGAGCCGATGGAGTTGCTCCGCATGCCAGTCTGTGGAGTGGAGCCGATGGAGTCGATCCACACAGGAGTCTGTGGAGTGGAGCCAGTGCAGCTGCTC